CTCCCCTCCCTTCCCTCCCTCCCGCCCTCCCCCCATGAGTATCGTCGCCAGGTACCTCCCCAAGGGCGGCACGAGCTCATCCAACCACACTACATCGGCAGCGACCACTACGTCCACCCCCTCCACGAGAGACGACGCTGGTGGCTGCAACCAATCTCCTTCCTCCACCGCCACCCTCCCCTCCTCCCTCCCTACCCCCGGTGGGCCCTGAACCAGGCCTCGCCAAGCCCCCACGTTCCTGCGGACATTGTCGTTGAGATTCTCCAGAGCGTACGGTAGGTCTGTCAAGATGACTTCCCTGGCGCCCAGCACCGCGCAGGACAGGCCCACCAGCCCTGTCCCCGCCCCAAGCTCCACCACCTTCTTCCCTTTCAAAAATTCAAATTCAAAGTCAAACGTCGGCGCCTGGGACCGAGCCGCGGCATGGGTGTGCTGCTTGATCAGGTACTTGCTGAGGACAACGGCGCCGTCCCACGTGGTAAGCCCAGTGCCCAGCCCGGAATTGGCCACCCCCTTGACAAAGATCCGAGTGTCGAGGACGGGAATTCCCTCCCCGTCGAGGTCGAGGGGGAAACGCCGCCCCGGAAGGGCCAAGACAGGCTTGTCGGGGGAAGAGGAAGATGATAGAAAATCCCGACACTGCTTTTGCTTCCATCGGAGGCGGACGAGGGAGGGGAGGGCGGTCAAGGCGGTAGGAAGAGGGATAAAGGCCTCGGCATGGGGGTCGAACCATTCGAGCTCCATGTCCCTAGCGGGCTGTCCTACAATATCCTTTGCAAGTCCTTCCTCACTTTCTTTCTCGCTTTGCTCAGCAAGAAAGATGGAAGTTTTCAATTCGGTCAGCGTGCTGGCTTCCAAAGTAAAGCGCCTCGGACCGGTCTTGGCCCTGCTGTCGATTTCATAGTCCCGGTCCACGTCCAACAGGATGCGAAAGCGTCTCAAGGCCGCATTCGAAGGTGAATTCGAAGACTCCTGAGGAGGTAGGGAAGGGTGGAGGGCTGCGGGTGGTGGAGGCGGAGGACAAGAAGCCAGGGGAATGCCCATGAGGGGAAGGAGGAGTTGGGCAAGAGGGAGGAGGAGGACGGAAAGCTGGAAGCCCCAAGGCCTTGGGCGTGGATATGGAATGGTTGCAATTATTCAACGTTGAAAATTATGTCTTTGAGCCCTGGACTTTCGATATATGTGGATTTATATGGGGGCATAAGGGTGTGAGACTGGTACGTGTGATACACGACTCAAAGAAGTCTTTTCTCTGCCCTCGGACTGACTGCAGCATTTTTGCCCCGTGCGATTTAGCTTGGCGCACGGGGTGGAAGGATCACGTACACGGTCGCGTTATTTATGTGCATGCTAGCTTTACAATGATTTCTTTGTTGCTCGTACTGACATTGTAAACGCCTTTCTCCTTATAACCTCCCCCCCCCCTCGTCTCCCCCTCCTTGCCATCCGCACAAACCCTCCCACCAACAATGCCTCTTGTACCCTAAAAATCACCCCCCTCGCAGGTTTACGTGCACTCGTATACAGCATCACGTTTGCCAGCTTTTCTCCTTCATTGCAGATTGTCCACACGCATCCATGGGCTCCCAACACCTGCCTCGTCAAACCTGATACAAATGAACGCGGAGGACGACTCGGACGAACTTAAGCGCCAAAGAATGGCCAAAATAAGAGCGCGGTGGGAGAGCCATCGTGCTCCCCCACCCTGCCCCCATTATCTTTCCCCGTTGACTTTTGAGTCTACTTCCCCAGTCAATCCGCTTCCCTCGCGTCTCACCGTCGTGATAACCACCAGCCCGGTGAGGTCGAACCCCGACACTCTCCTGTTGCGTCGCGTGGTCCACTCCTTCTCCCTGGTTGCAGGCCTCATCGACTGCCCGAAAGTCGTCGTTTGCGACGGGTTTCGTCTGGCGCGTCAGACGGGGGGAAGCCGGTACAAAAAAGGGAAAATCTGCCCTGAGGAAGTCGGGGCGTATCGCGCCTTTATCGCAGCCGTGGAAGCCCTGGCTGCACAAGGGGAGGGAGGCTTTCGGAACATGCGTGTGGAAGCACTGGAGGAAAGGATAGGCTTCGCAGGTGCGGTTCATCGGGCATGTGGCGAGTGGGTGCACACCCCATACGTAATGGTGGTGCAGCACGACCGACTAT